TTTTCACATGAAGGTGAATATTGATATAGTTCATGAGAACCGAAGCAGCTTAACTTAAACTGCCAAGCTTATTAGAAAGGATTTTCCTAAAGTATGACTGGACAGTTCCGAAAAACGACAATAAGATACAATGTGGGCAGTTCCTTTCTGACTTCTAAGCCAAGGCAGAAAACCACAACTTGAAATGACGCACACCACCAGTAACAACAGTGTATGAAAGTAAAAGTCAAGTCTAGTCATACTTCATCCACAGCAACAATGAATTTTTTGGGAGCAGTCCTGCAGTAAACGTGTATTAACGATGTTACGGACACCTTTCTTTTTCGAGATTGCTAGGAAGCGAGCTGATCTTAGCTCCAGCTTACTGGCTGTATAAGTGCCATTTTACGATCGAAACAGCCTGATAAGCTAGCTGCTTCTTTGCAGTGTCCAGAAGTCCTCCATGGGAACAATGATTTGGTTTTGCCAGTGATAGAACTCATAAGCACCAATATTATACACAACATATATGATTATTTCTAGTGTTCTCATTCAGTTATTTATTGTTTGTGGTTCCTTCTAGTGTTTACTGCAAAATGGCTTTGCCAATCGTTACACGCAACCAATCGTTCCTCATTCTCTTTCGATATCTTTTCAGCATCGAGCTGAAGCAGTTCAGTTTTCCAGCTGTTTCTTCCTGTACCCCTTTCCATTACGTCAGCATGCCACTAAATATCCTTCTGCACACCTTTTCGTTTTCACAAAAAAACAAGCGGCGTGATTTATTACACGTTTTTTCTTTGTGGCGTTATGGCTACAGTGCTGCTACAGTGAGCAAAAATGCATGTTGTTAAGAGATTGTTGGTGTGTATGTGAACTTTGTCCCTACTTTCAACTTATTGAACAGAGAAGCTCCGTACATGTGTGAGCTATGGATTTCAAATACAGCTGTACCGTACACCTACGTCACGCATATGGGCACATCAAACTTTATCGCTGGATTTTGCCTAATTAGAGAATTAGCCGGGAAAGGACAGCTGAAATCCATGTGGGGATTCGTACACCTAAATCGAGTTGGATTGCAAGTGCGTTACGCCTTAGGCCATGTGAAAATAATTCTAGCGAAGTAGCGATTTCGGAAATCAGATAAGCTAAGTTCCTTTTTCAAGGAATGATATCTACAACTTATATCAAGATTGCTACGAGCTAACAAAAAATATGCTCCCGTTCGTGAGCGAGCATTCGCAGCGCCATCCATTGGAAAGCGGTCGTACAGTCACTGCTGCTGCTCTCGCATTGTCCCGGAAAACCCCGAGCAGTCTGCGAATCAATCAGAAGCATCTGCAGGCGGAGTTTGGCATTGCCTACATGAAAGCAATGGTAAGCTTATTTGCCCTGTAGTATCAGATATTTAATTTGCCTTTAGCAAATAACAACGGAATTGAGATTTGTCGTGCGTGCGAACAGAGGAATGTTGCCACTTTTACAAGTGGAACAGGCGTGCAAGCATCACCATATTATGGAGACAAAATTTTATGGGTTAGTGTGAGACCAAGGAAAACATGCAATCTCGTAGTTCCTATACGACTCGAGATTCATCATCAACGGAACGTTTGTCAGCTGCTTGTGTGGAGTTTGAGACTGTGAATCGACGACTGTTCTATTTTGCTGAACTGGACGGTTTCGAAAATTAAGATTCTCACATCAGTTTCTCGGAAAGGCAGGCAGTTCTGAAAGGGCATTTTTACACCAGTTAACTAATTTCCGACAAAATTAGCAACTTAGACTTGTCAAAGACTTGCCTCAAAAGCGTTTAGAAGTGGAACGTGCTTTTAAAAACTTTTCTTCATTTAACAGGACTTTCGACAAAGCAGTGACAGGAATCCGGAAATATGATAATGTCTGCCCTCATGTTCCGTTTGTAAAAGCAGCTTTTGATTTTTTCTTCTAATATGTCATTCTTGAAATCGATGGAAGTGTTAAAAGTCAGCATTTATTTTCAGCCATGGAGCATTTATACGGCTTCAACGGATGCACTTGGTGGTTTCCCGTGTTATATGTTCTATGGGATGACTCAGTATCTAAATCATTCTCACGTGCGTGATGCGCTTCATATCCCTGACTACGTGCAACCTTGGGCAATTTGCAAGTTAATACTGCTTTTTATGCTTTCTTTCTGTGCAACGCTATTGTGCTGTAATTATGAATAAAAACGTATATTGTACAGATTGTCGGTGTGTATGTGTGTCTGTACATATGAGCGTGTGTATGTGTGGCGTGTGTGTGTGTGCATCTGTCCGGGTATTTCAAACCGGCAACCAAGCGAGTTTTGATGCTGAAATTTTTCCATGGGTTCCTTGGCTAAGCACTACCCCAGAAATCGTGGTGCTAGCCTTTACGCATGTATAGGCTCCGCGTATGAGTGCATGAAATTTTTGGCGAAAAATTGTTTACTGGAGAACCAAAAAAAAATTAGATGACTGGAATTTTAAAGGATGTTCTCAGCATACATGCAACTTAAAGATGTATGTGTGGTTCGCAAGTATCGGCACATATAAGTTTTGGTGGGAAAATTGCTAGCTCGCGGACCAGAACCCAGGCTGGAATGCATCGGGTGAGCCCGTGCGATCATGCGTTTTTGCACCGGAGTTGAAGTACTCAGGTCATCAACTGTATGAATGATTGTTGCTTCACACCTGCCTTTTGCGGTCAAAAGCATAAATCACCATAAATCTTGCATAAATTAAAAGTACAACTTCCATTTAACGGTCGTTCTTTAAAAGTAACCTACCTGTTCAGTGAGGAATTTTTCCCCCAAAACTTTGAGTACCCGTACGTAAAAACCACGCATACCTCAAGGCTCAATTTGAAATACTTAAGTCGTTCTCGGACAGAAAACTTTCCTCCAGAATTTCAGCCTTCCAGCTTTTCTGTTTCCCGACTTCGTAATTTTCTCGCAGAAATTTTCATACGCCTCTACATGAATACCAAGCATAGCTTTGGGCTGAATTTGAAATATTTGAGTTGTACTTGGATAGGGAACACTGCCCCTAAAATTTTAGCTTTCTAGCTTTCCTGGTACCCGAGTTATCAATTTTCCTGCCAAAACTTTTATACGCCCTTACATGAGCACCACGCATATCTGGGGGCTGAATTTGAAATCTTTAGCTAATGCATGCACATGGAATATCCCTACAAAGTTTTCAGCCCCTTACTCGTGTGGTCCTCGCGGTCGCTTTCCCACCAAAAAGTTTGCATATTTCCTAAAGCGTCGGTGCGCGGCACCTAGGTGCCCGCAGGGGATGAAATTAAAACATGGGGGTCGCGCATAGTATGGACACATACTTCCAAAATTTCAGCCTTCTAACTTTTCTGATTCTAGAGTTGAAAGTGGGTGACAAAAAGTGCGAACATACAGACATACACACACACACACACAGCCTCTTCCGAATGTGCGTATTTGCAACTTGCATATATGCAACAAAGGCTGGAA